CCATTTTTTTTTAAGTTTATTTATTTTTTTATTGAGGTAATATTGGTTTACAACATTGTATAAATTTCAGGTGTACATCATTATGTTTCAATTTCTGTGAAGACCACATCATGTTCACCACCCAAAGATTCATTACCATCCCTCATCATACACACATGCCCTTTTACTCCTTTCTCCCTCCCCCATCTCCTCTTCCCCTCTGGTAAACCAACCTAATCTCTGTATCTATGTATTTGTTTGTTTGTTGTTGTCGTTTTTATCTTCCACTTATGAGTGAAATCATATGGTATTTGGCTTTCTCTGTCTGACTTAGTTCGCTAAGCATAATATCCTCAAGATCTATGCATGTTGTTGCAAATAGCAAGATTTCACCTTTTTTATGGCTGAGTAGTATTCCATTGTGTATATATAGACCACATCTTCTTTATCCATTCATCCATTGACGGGTGCTTAGGTTGTTTCCAAGTCTTGGCTATTGTGAATAATGCTGCACTGAACATAGGGGTGCAAATATCTTTTCAAATTAGTGTCTCATGTTCTTTGGATAAATACCCAGCAGTGGAATAGCTGGATCATATGGTAGTTCTATTCTTAATTTTCTGAGGAATCTCCAAACTGTTTTCCATAATGGCTACACAAGTTTACATTCCCACCAGCAGTGTAAAGTTTCCCTTTTCTCCACATCCTCTCCAACACTTGTTATTTCTTGTCAATTATAGCCATTTTAAGTGCATATCTTCTTAATTTAGACCTCTATCCCTGAATTCTCCCTTGAGCCACCCATCTGTACCAGATGTTTATTTGGAATGTCCATTAAACTTCTTACAGTCACGTCAACTGTTTAATGTTCAATACTCAGTTCCATTGTCTTTCTTTTCCAAGTTTGCTAATCTTCCAATCTTCTGTCTCAATTATGGTACCATCATTCAACCAGTTGCTCTAGCAAAAACCAAGGAATCATTCTTGATTCCTTTTCCCTTCAACCTCCATATCTAATCCCTCAATGAGCACTCTGACTCTACTCAAAAGCACATCTCAGATCTGAACACTTCACTTTCTGAGTCCAAGTGATCATTTTTGCCTTATTCTTCTATCTGGTCCCCCTGTTTCTCCTTTGCTCCTTTACTATCCATTCTTTACTCAAGAGCCAGAGCTATCTTTTAAAAATATAAGTCAGATCATGTTACTCCCTGGTTTAAATTCTTCAATAGCTTTTCCTTCTTTCTGGAACTACATCTTTGCCTAATCGTCTAGCCCACATCCAGCTTGCCCGTCTCTGTCTTAACTCACACCACCTGCTTCAGCAGCCCTGGCTTCTTCCCAATTCTGAACATGTGCGAGGTCTTTCCCACTCAATGTCATTTTACCTAGTGCTTCCACTTCCTGCAATGATCTCCCTTCATCTCTTCCCACGGTTGTCTCACTCTCATCTTTCAAGTTTTGATCCAAATGGCATTAAAAAAAGTGCCTTTTAATAGTGCTAACCAAATTTTTCTAAATCATCACCATCACCATACTTATTTCCTTCTTAGAACTTAACATGTAGTATTCTGTTTATTCATTTACTTGTTTATGAACTTTCTCTTTTTAGAAAGTCCCAGTTTCGTGAAGTAGAGGCTTTATTTCTCTTTAAGCACTGTATCCCAAGTACATAGCATAGTATCTGGCTTAACGCATGTGCTCAATAAATATTTGTTGAATAAATGAATTCCAAAGTCAATAATGTCTTAAGACTATAGATAAGGGTTGATAGAATCAAATGCACAGAAACATTATGTAAAACCAGGGTTGCCAGGGTTGAAAAGAATTGTTTAGTTTGATTGTTTGGAAGTCACTGGAGAAAGCAGTGAATTTGGAATGGAAGGCAGAGGTAGGAATGCCATGGGTGAGGAGTCAAACGGAAGATGTGAAATTGGACGGCAGTAAGTATTCTGAGATATGTGACTGAAAACAGAACAATGAAGGGTGTGATGCTACAGTCTTGGGGGTCTAAAGAAAATCCTTTTAAATTTTTGTTAATGGGTGGTATTTGTGTAGAGTTCCATGTGAGGAGAAGGAAGCAATAAAGACCAAGAGGTGAAGGTACAGGGTGGAGAGGGGTAGATGATGGAGTGAGGTAAGGGGGAAGATGGAATTGGGGAGCAGGATTGGGAACCCAGATGAGGGATAAGTCTCGGACAAAAGGAAGGACATCTCTTCCTCTGTGGGGCAGGACATCAAGGAAAATATCTTTTAGAGTTTCCATTTCCTCTGATAAAAGTGAAGAAGTAGTGGCAGTTATGGAGCTTAACATAGTGAACAGGTTTTGGAATACCACCATGAGAAATTGAGAGGCACTGACCGGGTATTCATAAAAGAAATGCTGATTGTCAGGGAAGATTCTGTTGAAATCATAAACTTGATACCAGTTTCTACAGTTGTGTAATTCATTCATCAATCAAATGTTTATTAGGTATATACTATGTTCAAGATACTTTAGTTGCTGTTAGAAGCAACAAAATAAGTAAATCACAGTTTCTGCAGTCTAGTGGGAGAGGGAAACAAGCATACTAATTAGCAAAGCCTTGTGATGCGGGCTGTCTTAGAGGAATAAAATTATGCAACCAGAACACAAAGGATGATGAGGAAAGAGAGGGTAGGTTCTGCTCATAAAATCGGTGACTATAATTGAAGATTCCAGAATTGGAACTGTTCTCAATGATAATAGAGTCCTGGAGGAGGAAGTGGCTCACGGAATGGAGGAAGTCATGGAACTGTGAGATTAGCAGGTTGGAGGGGCGTTCAGACAGATGCTGAAGTTGCCTAGGAAGGTGGAAGGAGTCATTTTGGACAACAACTCCTGTGCGGCTGTGACTTGGATATCTGAATTCTTGATGAATATTTGAGAGTGACTTGGAAATTCACACATGCCTGTGTTAAGGACAGGTAGAGGTAAATATGATATAGCCAGATAGTGTAAACATCAAATGAAGAAGGCATTGTACATGACAGGGATATCATCATGGTCTGAAAGTAGCAATTAACAAGGAGGAAAATGCCCAAACCATTCCCTAGTGGCCTGGTCCATAAGGCATCAGAAGATGAGCAACTTTCACTTAAAAGAATTTCAGTCAAAACAATGAAGTAGCATTCTGAGGGCTGAAGTTGTAGTGGATTTTTTGTATGATGACACAGAGGTTTCTGAAGGTCCAGGAGAAAGCATTGGGCAGGAGTAAATTATGAGAGAGAGAGAGAGGGAGAAACTCAGACTGCAGCAATGACTGAGAACACCAGAGAGTCAAGAATGGAAATAATTGTTTCTGAGATGCCAAAACACCTCAGGGGTGACACACTTCTAGGGCCTGCACAGGACAGTGCACCAAATGTCAGCAATCTGAAGATACCAGCAGCCTGGGGTTGGTCCACTTGTCAAGGAATTGTCAGCAAAAGGACTGCTGACTTCCCTCCAAGGCTGATGCTGGGGGTAAGCAAACATCGTTGGTCTGTTGGAAGCCAGAGAAAAATGCTCTTTAGTCCAATATCTCTTCTTTTTCAAAATTTAGTTTAGAAGTAGCTTTATTTTCTCTGATTGTGAAAGAAATATACATTCATTTCAAAAAATAAGATAACGTAGAAAAGTATAAAGAATAAAATAAAGATCACTTATAAACCCCAGAGAGAGAGAACCTAATCACTGTTAACATTTCCATATCTGGTACTAAAAGAATGCCTGGCATTTATCTGTTAGGACTCTGAAATACACTTTGTCTGTCAGGGTTTCCTTTCTCTCTCCTACTCTCTTTTATTCTCTGTCTTTGGTGCTGCTGCCTTTCCTGCTTCATATCTGTTCTCCCTAAATTGAGATCTCAGTCATTTCTGGAGCGGAATCATTTTACCTTGAGCTCATCCAGTTGTTCATGAAGCGTTTGATGGATGTCACTATGGTGGCTGCTGGTTTTGCAGGCTCTGCTGCAGAGTTGCTATGGCGATGGCCATAGTACTTGGGATGCTCCTTTTGGTTCTCCCAGGATCAGAGACCATGTTGCTAGGGCACGTCCAGAAACCACTTAGCTTTTCATACTCACTTCTCAAAAGAGAAAATGCCACCTTGGGGGTGAGGCTAACCCATCCTCTACAACAGACCCTCTGCTGGCAGTCCCTCGTTATTGTTCACCATTGAGGTACTCTACTCTGTTTTTTACCAGCAAGATCCAGTCTCTTGACCCAGACACAACATGGCAGAGAAGGGTGGTTGAATGGGCCACTGTCAGATAAACATTAACTTCAATGGCCCCATCACTAGGGGAACCCTAAAAAATGGCTTCAGCCCCCTGAAAATGGCATATATGTACTTCTGGTTTTCTCATTCTGCCTCCGTTTCCAGAGGCGGGAAGTGAAATAGGCCTAGTAAGAACAATGCTTTCACCTTTCTGAGCTTGATCAATTTGCCCTTTATTTTACCACATAAGTCAGAACTACTATATATCACATTCCTGCTAATTGTTTCTTTTCCTCCTTCCTCCCACCTATCTCCTGCCACTTCCACAGAAGCATAAAGCTTTCAACACCCTGCTGTCCATTAGCATAAATAAACTCATGCTTTTAAAGTAAAAATAGGTTTAATGCTATATTTGTTAAAGGCTGCATTACCATAAGGGGATAAAAATATTCCTGAGTAACAGGTAGATCATATACTTTAGAGACAACAGCATGCCTTTATTGTGGCTACCTGAAAGTCGATTATTTTAGCCATAGGTTAAAACCTTAAGTCTCAGCACAAGTTACATTTCTACCTCAGAAATTGTTAAACCATGCAGTTTCTCAGGGCACGTACCTTCATGTTTTAATTTATTTTTTCTGTTGCTTATACGTTGAAAGCAGATCTAAGACACGAAAAAGATGAAGTGCCATTTAAATTCAATCTTTGCCGTATGAACCAATGGATAATGTTGTTATAACTTTTCTCACCCTTTCTATGTATCTGTTGTTAATTTAAATTTTGTGTAACATTTATCCAATAGATAAGAAAATACTGGGCTAAGAAAGAAGAGAAGTGGCAAGAAATGGAAATGAGAGATCTTCGGCGTCTAGAAGAACTGAAGAAATTAATGGCTGAACAGTCAGTAAAAGACAGAGAAAGGTAAAAGAAAAACTTAAATCGTGTGGTAAGAGAGGTGGTAAACAGAGTCTTCTGTAGAATGTTGAGATAATATCAGAGGGAGCATTTTTCTATACTTAATGTATCCTTCCAATATTTGTATTCACAAACGGATAAAATGATACTTATATTTTAAATTCTCATATTCATACATGAATCTCTAGTTTTCCATTTTGTTCCTTAGATAGTTTCCCACATTAAACCCTCACAGAGGATTCCATAGTATCTGATTGTCCACTGCGTGCCTGAAATGATCCTGGCAGCTGCTGTGACTTCATATTTTGACCCAGAAGGAGGAAACCATCATTCAGATGAGCAGGGAAATCAACTAACCCAGTCTTCTCATTTTATGAATGAGTACACTGAGGACCCTGAGAAATTAGAATTATTTTTCCAAGGTTACTGTATCAATCAGGGTCAATGAGGAGGCAGAGAAAACTAAGTAATTTGAAAAGGAAAAGTTTAAAAATTATTAATTCTGACTGAAATTCTCTGTTATATAAAGGGATAAAGAGAAGTTTAAAGAATACCCCAGGGCTGAAGGAGGGTTCCCATGGAGGAAACAAGTTGGGAACTGGGACACCTCCCCTCCCCCATAGTTGGGCTTCAGACCTCAGTGTAGAAGGTGTGGTTGTGGCCTGCTGCATGGTGGAGAGGTTCTGGGATGGGTGCAACCAGCACTTTTTCATAGTCACCAGGCAAACAGGAAACACTTTGGGTGCAGGAGGCCAAAGCTGGAAGTCAACCTTTGGGATGCTTGCAAGATTCAGTGGGAATCAGACCAAAAGAGTGTCTCTGAAATTTGATGCCATCGGAACTCCATGGGCACAAGTGCCACTGTGTGTCCCCCACACATGCTGCTGGCAGCCATGTGGCAGGAGCAAGAAGGGGTAAACACTGGAACCAGGAAAGAAAGCCCCATCCTTCTTCAGTGTCCCTCTAGCACCCTTTTCTGACATAGCTTAACATTGTGCCAGCTGCAAGGGAGAAACAACGACAGGGCCATCTCCATTTTCATAGAGCAGACAATGAAGGGTGTATTTGGAGCTGAGAGACAATACATTGGTAACTGGCATAGTTAATTAGTTTAGCTAGCTCCTGTTTGGATTTTCACGAAAGATAAATTAAGGATAAATCTTTCACTTCATAACATAAATCACAATAAGTTTCCATTACAGTTAGTCAATGTAAAAACCATTACCTGGAACTCTCTGTACTTTCCATTCAATTTTGCTGTAAACCTAAAACTGCTCTAAAAAATTTCCTTAGACTTATACATAACTCTGGAGGACATAACTATTTTATACAACGAGGTTTATTTGTATGTAGAAAGCTTCCTTTGTGACCCATTGGACAGTATCCTAAACTCCACTCACCAAGCCTGCAAAGTGAATCTGGAGTTCCACAGAGATGCCAGGCAAGTCTAAGGATTTTCCGGATGAAATTCACATTATTTTCCAGGTATCTAGGGATTTTAGAGTTGAGTTTAATGTGTTATGGAGAAAACTGAGAATGTAGCAAAACCAGGGCTCAAAGCTAAGAGTCAAAACAGCCAGTGAGAAAGCAGTTAAACAAGCACAACCCAAGATATAAGTGGATTCCAGAAGACAGGTCATACCATGGGTCAGAGACGAAAACCCACACACAGCTCAGTACTAAAGGGCAAGGCAAGGTGGGGGCCGAAAGGCTGGTCCAATCGATCATCTGAAACTCTGCTGGGGAAACAAAAGAGAGCCCCAGGAATTAAAGGGAGTGGGAAAAACTGAAGAGACGTGAGGTCCCAGCGTCTGGGCGACATTCTTCTAATAGAATCTCCCCTCACAGCCAGGGGTTTTCTTTGACTACAGAGCTATTTCAGTCTTTTCTTCCTGTCCCAATAATTATCAAGATCAGCTGACTCAGAACTCCAGTTGAAAAGAAGAAAAGGAAAATCAGATTAATCTGCTTACATAACAGGGAAAAAATAGGCATTTATAATATAGTGAAAAGAGTTCTAAGGCCTAGGAACCAGGAGACCAAGATTTTAGTCTTAAATATTCCTTGCAGAGCGTATGACCTGGGGAAAAGTCATTCATTTAACCTCAACAAGGCTCTATTTCGTCCTTTGTAAAACTGGACCTGATAACTTTGGAGGGCTAAGTGAGCTATCAACTTTCAAGGCTCTGTGATCTGGATGTTCACTCATGTGAAACGTTATAGATTCAGATAACTATGATTCCAGCGCTTGCATGCCAGTGGGAAGTCAGTGGGGGGAGGCTGTTGAAATATCAGGATAATATATCAGGAAATAATTCTCAGCAAATTTTGGATGATGTTGTAGATAAAAGCATAGTCCTCCTTCTGTGATTTAGGGAGAGGAACTTCCACACGGAAAAATTGCTGGTAACTTTTGCTTCTGACAAGAACCAGAAGTTGTATTCTTTTGTAACTATCCTGACACTAAGAAATTTGGTTGATTGGTTAAAATGTTTTTCTCTGCTACTGAAATACAATTCACAAATCTCATGTTTGATATTTTAACTGTAGGCACATTTTTCTCATGTCAGAATAAGAAGGCTTGAAACAGTTTCCAGATCTGTTAAAAACACACACACAGCTTTGAGGGTTTGAAAATTTCTGTTATTTATTTCCCTTTTCTATTTTTTAGTTCTAAGATTAAGTTTCTTGAAAATAATATTCATAAATTAGCACATCTATTAGGTTGAATCATAAGAAAATTTCACTTTTTTGGTCAAAAATGGTTAAGTATTAGTAATTTCATGTGGTTCAACAAAATAAAAAGATATAGTAATTCATTTTATTTATTATGTTTCCCTTCTCAGTCTATTACAGTCTGTCTTTTTCCCTCATCATCTTACTGAAATTGTTTTTGCCAAAATTTCCACTAACTTGCTAATTTTCTAATGCTCTATTTTCATTTCTCAACATGCCATAGAGGTTAAGAGGAAAGGCTCTAGAATTAGATCGTTGACCTTAGAATCCTGGCTCTATCCTTTATAGCTGTGTGACCTTGTGATATGTTATTTAACTTCTCTGTGCTTCAGTTTCTTCATCCGTACAATGAGGACTTAAATAGTATCTACCTTACAGGATTATTGCAAGGATTAAGTGAGATATTGAATGTAATACTCTGCCTGGAACATAGTAAAAATTCATTAAATATAAGTGATTGCTATTAATATTGACTTTTTAAAACATGAAACACCTTCTAACATAATTTTTTCTTGAAATGTTTAAGCATTTTATATATTTTGTTTTATTACTATTCTTTTAGTGAGGAAGATTGGCCCTGAGCTAACATCTGTGCCAATCTTCCTCTAGTTTGTGTGTGGGACACTGCCAAAGCATGGCTTGATAAGCAGTGGGTAGGTCCGCGCCTGGGATCCAAACCCATGAACCCTGGGCCTCCAAAGTGGAGCGTGTGAACTTAACCACTATGCCACCGGGTTGGCTCCACATTTTATAAATTTTAAATGAAACGTGTAATAATGAGGTCATTCTTACAAAAAATAAAACATTAAGGTTAAAGCAGAAGTGCCCCTTGATCACTACCCTCATGCAGTCTCTTCTCTAGAAGTCCTTTCTGTTATCAATTGTTTAATACTTGTGCACTCATACCATCTATGTGTACCTACATACATATGTGTATAAAAAACAAAAAAAAATGCATTTTACAATATAATACTGTTATATTAGCTCTGGCTACCACAACAAAATACCATAGACTGGGGGCTTAAACAAGAGAAAATTATTTTCTCACAGGTCAGGAGGCTAGAAGTTCAAGATCAAGGTGCCAGCATGGTTGGTTTCTGGTGAGAACTCTCTTCTTGGCTTATAGACTGCTGCTTTCTGTCCATAAGCTGGGGAGAGAGAGACAGCAAGCTCTCTGGTGTCTCTTCTTATAAGGGCACTAATCCAATCCTGAAGGCCCACTCTCATGACCTCATCTACATGTAATTATTTCCCAAAGGCCTCATCTCCAAACAAATACGGTCACAGTGGGGCTTAGGATTTCAACATATGAATTTTGGAGGGGCACATTCAGTTTATAGCAACCATTGTGTAAAAAGAGCCTTTATGTATGTGCCAACAACCTGTTTATTATTAACTACTATTTATTGGTTGCCACCAGTGTATAAGGTTTCTGCGCCAATTAGAAAAGTTGCCCCCTCCTTGTGGCAAAGTGCATAGAGCCCCTACCGGAAGTAGACAAATTAGAAAAAGATAAGACTCCCCTTCTAAACCAGGACACGTAATTTGACGAGCAGAGGCAAAGCTGGATGTCATTCCCCATTTATAATCCTGGTCGGGCATCACTTTTGCAAAGCACAAACTTCAAAACGATACGTGGTATCCCTGCAGACACACCTGCCTAATTCTTTTAAAATACTGTATATTACCCATGTTTCTTCTAAAATTTAGCCGTATGGAATTTATTCTTATGAATGATATGAGCTAAGTGTCTGACTTTCACTTTTTGGTCTAAATTGATAACCAACCATCTCAACATCAATTATTTAATGACTCATCCTTACCCACTGATTTGAAATGCCACCTTTATTATATATTTCACTTCTGATTATGCTTTTATGTCCATATGGACTCTTGATTAGATTAAATAAAAACTGATCTACATTTATATTTCTACATCGATACTGTGCTGTTTTAATTATTCTGTTTTGCTATCTGATAGAACAAGTGTTCACTCGTTCTTTTCAAAACTATCTTAGTGATTCTTCTGTCAAATTTCATTTAAAGAATCCTGTTGACTTTTGGCACTGAAATTTTGTTAGGGAGAGCTGACATATACACCAAATTTGATCTGCAATCTAGGATCATGCTTCCAGACGAGCTCTCCAGTTCAAGACTTCTCTTAGGTTCTTCAGAAGATTTCATAGTTTTTTCCTAGTGAAGACTTGGAAATTATTTTGGAATAAGTAGAAACTGGTGACCAAGCAGCTGGTAATAAATTTTCTTTAGGA